CTGCTATTTACTGAAAACGGTTCGCGTGCGGTCCGTATGCGGTTCCTATTTCAACCGCGCGCGAACGCGAAACGTTCGTAACGGACCCGTTCGCATTTTACCTGTGTATTAGCGTGTACCGTAATCCCTCTGATAGAATCCCACCAAAGCAGTCAACGTTGAGCTCAATTATCTGGATTCCTGTGAAAAATATGAGCAATTTGTCAACTGATAAAATAAATAACCCCAATATTTTATCCGTTGACAAGCTTTTTAATATCTTTCACTGGAACTGAGATAATTGAGCTCAAAGTTAACAGTTTGGGTGGCGTTCTAGCCTCTGATAGAAGCCCACCAAAGCAGTCTACTTTGAGCTCAATTATCTGGATTTCTGTGAACGATATCAAAATTTTGTCAACTGATAAAATATTGGGGATATTATGAAAAATAATGTATTAGTTGACAATTTTTTGATATCTTTTATAGGAACCGAGATAATTTTGCTTGACTTTGGGTTGCCTCAATTTGAGCGGATACGTAATTTGAAAAAAAATTCCAGAGCTCCCAAAGAGTGCCCAAAAGTTGCCCGATTACCATGGGAAATAAAATCGGAAAACGTCCACATTGATACGGAATTCCTTCTTGGAGAAGGTACAATATCTAATGTCTACCTAGGAAAACTAAAAGGCAAATCTCCAATAATGCAATGGATCGACAGAGTAGAAATGAAGCAATATCAGGATTGTGCAGTGGCTGTTAGAGTAAGTGATTAGTTTTTGATACTACAAGGGGCTCAATTCCCCAGACTGATAAAAACGGTTATAACTTCAGACAGAAGTATTTTGGAAGCACGAAAATCGGTAGAGATATAATTTTACGTTTGATTCAAAGCTACTGAAATTTTCAAAGCGATTACTAAATCTAGGTATTGTAATGACTTTCAAAGATGGAGGGCGTAATAGTTCTTGTGATTTTCATGAGATGAAGCAACTTTGAAAAGCCATAACTCAAGTTTGATCAAATAATTTGAAATTTGACGAGTTTACTGATGAGTTATAGGAATTTCGGTATTCTGAATTTGATTCCAGTACAACAACTTACCTAAATTTTATATAGTATAAGCTTTCATCTTTTATTTTTTCTAATCAGGTCCCACGACATTTCGATGAACCCGAAGAGGATCAACTCCAACGAGAAATTGCCTCAATGCGTCAATTAAGACATCATGATCACATTGCACTTCTTCTGGGATGGACCAATAAAAACGATTTAGTTTGCTCATTGCTCGAGTTGACACATATGAACCTGATAAAATATCTGTCTCAAATAAAAGAAACGTAGGTTTTTGTGTGACAGTTAGACCTTCAACTTTGAGTTCATATATCTCGGTTCCAGTAAAAGATATTGAAAATTAGTTAACTAATAAAATGTTGCTGATATCATGATAAACATTTTGTCAGTTGATCACTTTTTGATATCTTCAACAGGAAAAGAGCTATGTGGGCTCAAACTTGACTGCTTGGGAGGGCTTGTGTTTACGGTATTTAAAAACGGAAAAAAAATTTCCAGAGCTGAGCAGAACAATCCATCCGGTTTCACACCAATGAGTCGTATTCCATTCCAAGTTCTGTACAAAATCATATTTGAAATTTGTGATGGAATTGAATATATTCATTCGAGAAATCTTTTACATCGAGATTTAACTGCGAGGAACGTTCTTCTGACCACAGGACTAAGAGCCAAAATCTCTGGTTTTGGATTTTGTTCTGAACCGGATGACCCAAAATTTGCTGCCAATACAGTAGCCCTTCGATTCCTCCCAGTCAGATGGCTAGCTCCAGAATGTTTCATCGGCAAGTTTGGTATCAAAAGTGACAGGTGAGACATAAAGATTGGGATTAGTAACTTCAATTTTTTCAGCTGGTCCTTTGGAGTGCTCTTATATGAGATCTTTTCACTAGGCGAGCAACCTTATGAGGATTTGAATCGTCCGGAAGAAATAATTGAAAGCATTCGAAAAGGAAGAATTCCAGCTCATCCGAAATATTGCTCCAAGCAGACGTATGTTTCTAGTCCCTAAAAAAATAATAGTTGTCAGTACAACTAAATTTCAGATACAAAATAATGCAAAGTTGCTATCAATCGTTTGTCTCTCGAAGACCGAATTTCACTCAACTGAAGAATGCATTCCACGTTCAATCTACTAACTATTATAACAATCCAGCTTTTGAGCCAGATTATTAGATACTTCCTTTCATTTAATTTAATACGGGTACACATGAAAAATGTGTATTTCTCGATCAGCTTTACTTGTGTTAAAACAAATTGAATATACATTATGTCAAAAGTCCGAATACGACAACTACCGTAACCTGAAAATATTTTTATTTTCCGGTTTTTCACTTCTCTTCGTCGAGTTTTCTGTTATTTTTCCCCAAAAAAATCCGGTTCGAAAAAATTTTTTTTGAGAAAAACAGCAGAAAAATCAGTCAAAAACAAGAAAATAAACTCGGAACATAAGAATATTTTTAGGTTACTGTAGTTGTCGTTTGTAGGTCGTTTCTCTTCAACATCTTCGATTTTTCGTGCCGAAATAATATAAAATATTATGTCTGTATTTTTTCTTGTTATTGTACATAAATTTTTCTGTTTGGTGCATTTTTAAAGTTTTTCAGACTGGAAATAATTGTTCTCCAAATGCTCGTCAAGTATAACGTATTGAACGCAATTAACTGCACAACCGTTTTGCTGACCGTAATCTAGCCATAAATTGTTTTTTGTCCTTTCTTGAATGTTTTTTTCTTCTTTTTTCGATTTTTTTTTCTATTTCAATTGATATTTTTAAGGTCATTACCAATAATTTATTGAAAAAAGTGAAATTTCTTAATGTTTAGCTGAGTTCTACTGATTTTTTGGCCCTTCTGACTGTCATTTTGATTCAGCACGCCTGTTGGTCAATAGCATGAGTTCCAAGCAGAGAATTATACTTTCCGAATGTCTTCTCGAACCTAAATAATTTTCCTAGTCATATTTTATCATGCGGTCTCATTACTTGAAGCAATATTTGAATGCATTCTGTGGTGTTTCCAATTCCACCGTCATATTTGAAAAAATAGAAGAGAAAACGTTTTTGAAAAAATCATCATACTGAAAAATTTCGTATTTGTGCTGATTACTGCATGTTTCTCTTACTCCATCTATATTTCCACCTAGTTCCATGTCTCTACACGAATCTAATTGCTCTGCCTTATAAAGCCAGCTAGCTAACAACGCGCTGAAAATAGGAATCCCTTCTCGGAAAGCTATATGATTATTCATTCGATTCAACTTCTCAAGCCACTTCCATCTGTCAGTTAGAGCATCCGATCCGAGAATTTCTCGATCCAGTGTGATAAAACAGTGACCTTCTCTTGTTTGAGTTCTCTGCTCACAATCTTTCCACGGTTCCCAACGGAGAGACATTGAGATGGGAATTTCAGAAGGGAGTGTGGGAAAAGAAAGTTGAGATTTACATTGTGACGCTGGGTTCTCACATCCAGGTGTTCTGATAGACTTTCTGTTCTGAATATTTTGGATGGTTTGAGTCTCTGACGAAATGTTAAAGTTCATACATCATAGCACGACCAATCATCAAAGCCATATCTGTTGAAACATGTGTCCTGATCATCGAAAGGTTCCGCTGTATTATTCAGTAACCAAAAATGATCAGGATAACTACGAGCAGAATCAGAACACCCTCCAGCTGAAACAAATCCCCAAAGGTCTGGGGACAATGAATCTCTTACAGATTTCCTCAATATCTTTAATATAGTCTCTAGCCACGTGGACTACGGGGACAAGAGGAAGGAGTATGTGAAAATGTCGTTGGGACGCAATTGAGTCTTCATCGTAGCAAAAGTAGGAACCTTGAGAAAGTGCATTGGCCTACAAATTTTGTTTTTTTTTAGTTAGTACGACCCAATTTGTTTTACATTTTCGATAACTAAAAATCCATTTTCTTGGTAATAATAGGGCTCTCCTAGTGTCCCATTCGGTGCAAACACTCTGAAAATTTTGGCTCAGATGACTACCCTACTTCCTCTAATAGAAGCCCACCCAGCCCGTCAACTTTGAGCTCAATTATCTCGATTCCTGTGAGAGATATTAAAAACTGGTCAACTGATAAATTGTTAATCATAACATCTCGAATATTTTATCAGTTGATAACTTTTTAATATCTTTCGTAGGAACCGAGATAATTGAGCTCGAAGTCGACTGTTTTGGTGGGATTGTATAAGAGGGAATACGGTACATAAAACTCTGAAAATAATCACTTTTCGTCTTCTAAAAATTCCGCATTTTGTACGACTTCGATATCAGGTCCATCATTTGACCCGAACTTTTCCCCCTTTTCCATAAAATCGTCAATATTTCTGACTTTGGCCCATCCCTTCGGCGAACTGTAATAACCTAATAAGTCTTTATTCCGAAAAATTTCGGATTTATGAGCTACCCATTGAAACTCAGAGCAATATTACAAACGAAACATTCGATTCGAATGGTTTCTCCTGGATAATAGTAAACTGGAATGAGCTTTGTTTCATGCTCACAATCCCTGTCATAAGACGCTTTTGAGAAATGAGACTCAATGTAAATTTGCTTCTCTGAAGTGATTGTGGCACTTTTCCAGCTTTTCTCATCTGGAAACAAGTTCAAAACTGTTGTCGATTCAGAGACACTTTTCTGGAAAATTGAAGTTTTTTTATTTTCTCTCGAGTCGTAGTCCTACTTCTATTTCTGCTGTGTAGTGCACTCCCTTTGCTGAGCTGATGAGAAATATTAGGACATTTGTTAGAATAATGTAATTCATTTTGATTGAATTGAATTTTTAAAAAAAATAATTCAAAATCTACCAAAACTGAAAATTTCCAGCTTTTACATGAGATTCGTGGATATCTGTCCAGCGTACTTGACCTCGTTCGCTTTATGTCTTTTTCGGAATTTTTAGGAATGTCGAAAGTTCCGATTTTCAAAACTTCGGAAATTTCAAAATTTTCGGATTTTGAGAATTTCGGAATACTTCGATTTTTAAAAATTCGAAATTTTCCGATTTTGAGAATTTCGGAATATTTTGATTTTGAAAATTTCCGTAATTTCGAAATTTTGAAATTTCGGAATATTTCAATTTTGAGAATTTCGGAATCACGGAATTTTCCTATTTTAAGAAATTCGGAATTTCGGAATCTCGGAATACTCCGATTTTTTAAATATGAGAATCTCGGATTAATTCGATTTTGGAATTTTCAGATTTTTCGGAGGAACAATCAGATTTTGAAAAGGTCGAAATTTCGGGATATTCCGATTTTGAAAAATTCGGAATTTCGAAATATTTCGATTTTCAAAATTTTTGAAAAATTCAGAATTTCGAAAAACTCAGTTTATTCATCTGTAACTGGAAATTAAAAGTAAAAAAAGAGCTACAATCAACAAAAAATGACAATGCGTCTTTAACGTTTCATAATATTCTGAATAAAACGTCGGAAATTTTTCTGAGGGAAAAAATATCCGATTTTCGGAACACTTCCCAACGGGAAATTTTTCCGGAAAAAAGTCGGAAAAATCGGATCATCCGTTTTCCGACTAGGAGTAAGCCTGGTATGCACACAAAATTATGCTCGAGAGAACGCAGACTACCGCGAGGAATCCGCGGGAACTTGCAAACATAAGATCAATTGATTGATTAAGGGGTTCAATAGTTGCTTAACCGCCAAACGGAAAGACGTTTCAATCGAGAGCAATAACTGAATCCACCTGACAGCCTGCTGTCCTTCATATATTCCTCTTCTTTCTCGTGTATATACCGCCGCGTCGTTTTTTTGTGTGTGTCGCATCTCGGGACAGGGAAGCACCATGGCTGGCACCACCTCCACTCTCTCGCCTTAACCGCTTCCCTCTTTTTTTTTCTTTGTTGTCTATGTCTCTTCAGCATTCGAACGTTCTCTCTCTGGCCTAGCCGGTGCTAGTCGCCGCGTCTCTTTTCTCTTCGACGGCTCCCTTTTGTTTCTTTCTCTTCCTCTTTTTTGAATGTGTTGCTTCTCCTTTTTTCGTGTTCCCTCCTTCACCTTTTGGCGCATTGCCAAAAGTGCATGAGAGAAGAAACACGCACGGCTTGCCATGCTGATCATCCTGATTTCTGGAATAGGAATCTAACTCTGGCATACTTATCGCATGTCTTGTTCTCTGAAGTTTCAGCCAACAATATAGTAACAGTAAAAAGCATGTTTGTGGGTGAAAAGGACAGTTTATGACTGAATTATTGTCTCTCGCTCTCTAATCACGTGAAGCAAAGAGAGGCCACCATCTGAAGAATAGCATGAAGTCACGTGTGCGCAAGTACTTGAACCTCTGAAGCTAGAAAAGAATGGACAACGATAACATAACTAACAAGAAGAAAAACAAAAACTTATTTCAGGAACGTATCTCGACTAATAATATAAAAACCGCAACATATCTGTATGATCACAGCTGGTCACTTTATTACCGCCCCCATCAGCTCCGAGTCTCATGTCTATTTATTGACTGAAGTGTGTCCATCTCTGGCTTCATTTTTCCCCACTTCTCTCCGATTTGAATGACGTCATCGTGTTCTTCATTGGCGCCAGCTCGTTACGCTCATCGGTGCCATTTTTCTGACTATACTCGATTTTTCGAGAAAATGTTTCTGCCCTTTTTTCTCGTCGATTGGCTCACGAGCTCAACTCCGAGCTCAAGAAAATTCTAGAAATAGTCTTTCGTAATTCCGAACTTCGGTTGTCGTACATTTTGAGTTGTCTAGGTTTGAACTCTGTTTAGATATCGTAAAACCTGTATTAGAAGGGCACCCATAATGTAACGTTTGAGCTCAATTATCTCAATTCCTATGCGAGATATCAAAAATGTGTCAACTAATAAAATGTTTGTGATATTATGATAGACAATTCATCAGTTGGCAACTTTTTCATATTTTTAACAGGAAGCAAGATGAATTGGCTCAAAGTTAAAAGTTAAGAGGCTCTTCTACTACAGGTTTTACTTTATATGGTTATATAATGAGGAAGAGTACTAAATCTAGCTACAGTTTCGAATAAATCCTAAAAAAAAGAGTATTTAATCATTGATTTTCTCATCATTTCTGTCATGCATCAGTATAAAATACATTCGATTTCCGCGAGAAAATCATAGGTTGCATTATGTTGTGATTATCAACAACAATATACTTGTGACTTCCGATACGCGCGTAATCTTTTTTCCCCTCCTGTTGTTGCGTCTCTATGTCGCCATCATCGTTTTACGATTTCTTCACACATTCCGTCCGCTGACTTTATTCTTTGATATTCCCTTATTTTGCAACAGATTCCGTTGCAAAAATTGAGAAAAAATGTACTGGCCACTATTTTTTGGGGACTCTCCTACTAGTGGCTAGGCTTCTTAGTTGTAACAATTTTACACTATATTTTCTCGTGCCGGAAGTGAAGGAACGAGAAGATTACAGCATCATGTCCGTCCGGGATCCTAGCAAATTACTAGCCCAACATTTTTATTACTTTGTTGAGGAATGTCAGCTTCACAGTAACCGTATTTGTATACGTTCATGCCTTTACGACCTTGGCGTTCTCGTCCTACGCGTTTTCTTATTGTGGAAAAAAAAATGAGTCAGTTGGAAAAAAGTTGAGGTGAGGTAAAGATCTTCTCAGGACACCTCCCCCACGCAGAAACTGAGTCATAATTCACATTTGAAAATGGCGTTTCCTCTCAGTTCCAAGCGCTGTTGCTATCGGAGACGCTCTACCTTTTAGGTTCTTCTTCTTCCTTGTTTCAAATATAGAATTCTTACTGTGGAAACTTTTCTGTGTGTCTGTGTGTCCGTTTGTCTTGGAATAGGCCTCAAAACGAGTTGGAAAGACTTTCTCTAAACTTCTAGAAGATTCTCGAATCTTTTTTTTTGAATTCCCGCCAAAACTGAAAACTCCGAAAAATACCGTTTTTTTTTGCGCTTTTTCGAAAGAATGAATGATTTTTTTCTTCGATTTTTCAAGAAATTTATAGACCTTTTTAGATTTTAGGCTATTTTTGAGATTCTTTTTCGATTTTTTTCGAATTTTTGTCTGAAATTTTACAGGACGGTGTTCGTGAAGATTTCTGTAGATTACTGTAGAGTTCATTGAGAGAGTTAACTGTTTAAAAAATTAGTTTTTTCTGCGTTTTGACGGGAAAGTGTTTGCAAAAAAAAGTACAGAAGGAAACAAGTTATCTACAGTAACCTGCAGTAATCTTCACGAACACCGTTCCATCAAATTTCAGACAAAACAAAAACCGGAAAATCGAGAAAGAATCTTTGAAAATAGCTAGAAAACTTTTTAAAAATTCTAATTAAAAAAATACATTTTTATCTCAAAAAAAAAACGGATATTTTTTGGAGTTTTCGGTTTATTTTCCAGATGTTTCCAGAAATGGACAAAAAGCGATTTTTCGAGATTTTACTTGAATTTCTAGAATTTTTTCTTTGTTTCTATATGAATCTACATACTTTTCTACACCCTGTATATCAGTAGGATTGAGTCAAAAATTGAGAATCTCAGATTTTTTTCTTGAGTGTCATAGTTTTTGTAACTTAAAAATGTTTTATTAGCAAAATTTAGTCATGGGATCCTGGTTTAAGAGCTATCACATCTTTAGTAGCATGATCAGAAAGTTTGAAGGAGGGAAAAGAAGGAAGGTTACGACCAAACAAAAAGAAATAAATGATGAGAAAATCGAAGAAAAAGTTTGAAAAGCATGTCATAGGTGTAATTTCGGTGCTAAAAACCTCTTTTTCCTGTGCCCAAACGTCGAAATACACCAACTTTGCACTTGACGACTTCGAGAAGCCACCTGTTAGTGATTCGTGTTATACTGCAACGTCTCTCATATGACACTGGCGCCTGAATTGTTTTTTGTGTCGTTTTATGTTCTAAGTCTCTCTCTCTCTGTTTCATATGATTTCACTCTTTCTAAAGGACCCTTTAACTTACTGCGTCTAACAATTTATACATATATTTTCTACCATAAAACCTGTAATAGAAGGGCCCCACACTGTCAATTTTGAGCTTAATTATCTCAATTCCTATACAAGATATCACTAAAGTATCGACAGGTAATAAGTTTGTGATATTATCATGATCAATTTATCAATTGACAACTTTTTGATATCTCTAACAGAAATTGAGCTAATTGAGCTCAAAATTGACATTATAGGGTCCCTTCTATTACAGGTTTAACGGTATATTCTCTGTTTTGAAATCTTCTTTCGGATCGAAAATACATGTCAAATATTAAATTAATAGTTGAATTTTCAGTGTTCTTCTAATCACTGACGGGTGTCACCTTTCAAACTACGGTGCATCTTCCTGCTCTTCTAAATACGGTCAATTTTCATCTACGGTTAACAAAAGTGAGTTTAAAAAATCAAAGCAGTCCTGTTGGTCCAGGAATGGCACAAAATTTACCAAAATTAACACTGGAATTGTAAATTGTTTAATGAAATAAATTGAGTTTTTCGAAGATTCAGATGCAGGCAGTCATGGCATTATGTCATTTTTGCGAGAACCATGGCCCACGAATCGTTATGACATGTCAGCCAGTTCGGGATGTTGAAGAAAAAGGTGAGCATATATAGTTTTAACTGTTTTTGCTAGAAGAAAGTCATTGTTTTGACGGATTGCCATAGAGACCTATTGAAAAAAAAGAAAATGAATCCTAGCTGGCAGGCGGCTTTCAAAATGAATCCTAGCTGGCAGGCTCTGAAAATAGCGGTGTAGAATAACATGTAGATTCATATAGAAACAAAGAAAAAATTCAAAAAATGCATTTCTGAAAACTTCTGGAATTTTCCCGCCAAAACTGAAAACTGCGAAAAACTAGAATTTCTCAAAAGAAACAAGTTTTTTTTTAGAACTTTGCACAATTTTTAGACCTTTCAAGGTTTTTTAGCTATTTGCAAAGATTCTTTCTCGATTTTCCCGAATTTTTCGTCTGAAATTTGACAGGATGGTGTTCGCAAAGATTGCTGTAGGTTACTGTAGAAAACTGATTTCCTTTTGCAGCTCATTTTTGTTGCAGACGCAATCACGTCAAAATGCAGACAAAAACAACTAAAAAATAGAAGGGTTTCTACAATAATCTACAGTAATCTTCTCGTGTACCGTTCCATCAATTTTCAGACCAAAAAATTCGGAAAAATCAAAAAAGAATTTTAAAAAATAGCTGAAAACCTTGAACAGGTCTAAAAATGTGGCAAAAAAGTTCTGATAAAGCTCAAACTATTTTGAAAACAACATAATTTTCAAAAAACATGGCTTTACAACTAAAAACGATATATTTTTTAAAAAGTAGTAAAGAGCTTGAGGGGGCAAATAATGAAAAAAAGAGTCATCTCAAATCATCAAAAACAGAGATCACAGGAAACATAGGAAAATGAAAAGATGATAGAAATTGAATAATTGAATACAAACAGAGACGGTCAGCTGAGTTCGATAAAGAAGGAAACATAGAAAGGAATAATTTCGAAAAAAAGATAACCACACATCGCTATTGCCATCCTCTTCTTCCTTCTCTCTCGCTGTTTCGACTCTCTGTGGTTCACTCACTCTCTGTTTCATAACCACCAAACGAGAGGAAAATGCTTCTGGGGACACGAAGACGAAAAACAGGGAGAACGATTCCCATGCAGCACTTAATCGATTCTTGGGAAACGTTTCGTTTTATGTGTCATTGGGAGAAAAAAAAAAGTCATTTAAATGGGCCGAAAAATGTAAAATTTTGATGGATTGCACTGGGAAAGTTGATATAATGTGGAAAATGCATCAGGAAATACTAGAGTGACTCATTAGCATTTTATGTTAATTTTGATAGAATGGTTTTGCCTGAAGCTTTGGAATTGAAGCTAGTTTAGCGTTTTGATAAGTTATATGAGCTAAATCAGATACTGAGGCTGTGCCAATCCTGTAAAAACTAATTGTCTAGACATTCAGGTTCCTCGTGACGTAAATGCTAAAATCGAAGCCCAACTTTGAGCTTAATTATCTCGGTTCCTTCAAAAGATATCAAACATTTTTCGACTAAAAATTTATTTATCATGATATCAACTACATTTTATCAGTTGACAGGTTTTTGATATCTTTTACAGGAATCGAGATAATTGAGATCAAAGTTGACAGTTCGTGTAACCAACGAAATACGGTATAATAAATTGATTATAAGAAAAACAAACCTGTAAATTCTTGGCTACAAATTTGAGCTCAATTATCTCGATTCCTATTAAAAATGCTAAAATTTTGTTAACTACTAAAATATCTATCATAATATCACCAATGTTTTATCAGTTGACAGATTTTTGATATCTTTCATGAAAACCGAGATAATTGAGCTCAAAGTGCAGAGCAATTAAGGTAGATATCATGTCTGGAGAACTATTAATACTATGATCAAATTCCAGAATCTTCTCCTAACCCGTCAACATCACTAGACCCGTCAACAAGCGATTCGCCTCCCGGTCCTATTGTACCCCTAATAAAGGTAGCCACGAAGACGATGAAAAAAAACGAAACTCTTATAAAATTTCAGTTTGACGGAGAATGTGAATTTCATCACAGGAAGCAGACAAAATCAGAAGACGGCACCTCATATCCCCATTACGGGAACTGTACAAAGTTTACAATAGATTTAGATGACAGGTATTGAGTTATGATATTTAAATTATGCTAAATCAATTTTGCAGATGTTCCGCATGTAGTTCATTTCGGAACGGACCTTGTCTCTTATCAAATGATCATCAAACCCGAACGAGTTATATCTCATCAGAGGTAAAAACGATGAAGAATGATTTTTACATGTTTATGGGTTTTCAAAATGAATCCTAGCTGGCAGGCTCTGAAAAGAGCGGTGTAGAATAACATGTAGATTCATATAGAAACTAAGAAAGAATTCAAAAAAAAAATTGGCGAAATCTCGAAAATCTCTGATAGTCCATTTCTAGAAACTTGTTCCCTCCAAAACTGAAAACTCCAAAAAAAAAAGCAATTTTCGAGAGAAAATTTTATTTTTTCATCGATATTTTTGCAAAATTTTTAGACCTCTTTAGGTTTTCTAGCTATTTTCAAATATGCTTTCTCGATTTTTCCGAATTTTCTGTCTGAAATTTGATGGAACGGTACTCGAGAAGATTACTGTAGATTACTATAGAAAACATCTCCTTAGTTTTTCTTTGCAAACACAATCACGTCAAAATGCAGAAAACGGTTTTCCACAGTAATCTAAGTAATGTTCGCGAACACCATCCTGTCAAATTTCAGGCAAACAATTCAGGAAAATCAAAAAAGAATCTTCAAAAATAGCTTTAAAAGAATCTAAAAATGTTGCAAAAAAATTGGAGAAAAATCAATTGTTCTCTCAAAAAATCGGAAAAAACCACTATTTTTTTCGGAGTTTTCAGTTTTGGCGGGAATTCAAAGGAAACAAATAGCTGAAAAATCTTGGTTCCTGTGAAAGATATCGAAAAATATTTAACTTATAAAATGTGCATCATAACATGAACAACATTTTATCAGGTAACAAAATGTTGATAACTTTCACAAGAACCGAGAAAGTTTGGCTCAAAGTGGACTGTATATTCAAAAAAAAAAGAAGATTTACACTGGTTTCTAATCCGTTCTTTTTTTCAGGTAGCACTACAAGAACGAGTATATGAACGGGTCAAAATTGCATGTTTACGATCTTTAAGTTGTGAAAGATCAGGTGATTTGGAAGAAAACGGCGGAACGAATTCATCGAAAACGCCATCAAAAGCGCCATCAAAATCGTCGTCAAAAAAGCCAGCGACACCGCGAAAATGGCGTCCTGAAGTGATACACGAGGAGCCGATAAACGGTAAATAAGACTTCTTAGAATATAGCTCACTTCGTGCAAGCTATTACAGGAACACGAATCCCACCATCGGCCACAGTACTTCAAGAACCCAAAGAAGATGGCGCGAAAAAAGCGCTAATAAAGTGAGTGACAATATGAAGTAAAACCTGTAATAGAAGGGCCCCCTCACTTTCAACGTTGAGCCAATTCATCTCGGTTCCTGTCAAAGATATAGATGAGTTGTCAACTGATAAAGTTTAGATGATATTATAATGCACATTTTATCAGTAAACAGATTTTAGATATCTTTAACGGAGGCCGTGGGAGCCCTTCTATTACAGGTTTTACGGTAATATATTCACAGTATAAATTTCCAGAGAAAAGGAGGAGGCTGATGGCTGCGTTATATTTGGCGATGTAGATAATGGTTATTGTTTTGCATTCGTTTTTCGGTAAACACTCAGATTTCTTATATAAAATCAAAGAATAATTTCAGAGTAATAGATGCAAAAGCAAGAGGATTTCATCGACTCTTCTCTCTTGTTGTTGTAACGAATGATCTAACATTTTTGACGAATAATTTTGAATATTTCAAAACCACACTAGGAGGGATAAAGACTGATTTACAGGTGGGAATCAGTGATAGGATGAACTTATGAAGAACGTTTTTTCAGACATTGGCACAGGAGGTGTATTCGAAAGAAATTCTACTGATACCAAAACTAACAGACGAAGACATACACAAGCCAGAATATCAGAATATGGTTGGAAAAAGTGGGACACCGAATACAAAGGTAAGGGGAGGACGGAAGAATGTGAATGATGAAAATTCGAGGCAAATTGGATTGGGGAGAAAAAGAGCGCTCAGATGAGAGTAGAAAATATATAGCTTCATATAGAAACGAAAGAAAAATTCTAAAAATGGGCGAAATGTCGAAAAATCCCCTCTCGTCTAAATCTGGAAACTTCTGGAACTTTCCCGCCAAAACTGAAAAATCCGAAAAGTGACGATTTTTCGAGAGAAAAATGTCTTTTTCATGATTTTTGCCTAAATTTTTAGACCTTTTCAGGTTTTCTAGCTATTTCCAATGATTTTCTCTCGATTTTCCGGTTTTTTTTTTGAAATTTAATGGAACGGTTTTCGTGAAGATTACTGTAGATTACTGTAGTTTTTTTAACAAACACAATCACGTCAAAATGCTCACAAAAAAAACTCGGAAAATAGAAGGTCTACAAAAAAATTCGGAAAGTAGAAGGTCTACAGTAAACTACAGTAATCCTCACGAACACCATCTTGTCAAATTTCAGGCAAAAATTGGTAAAAATCAAAAAAGAATTAAAAAGGTCTAAAAATTTTGTCAAAAAATCGAGAAAAAAACCAATTTTTATTTCGAGAATTCGCTTTTAAAGGGGAATGTTTCGACGAGAGAGTCTCCAGTAAAAATAAAGAGGAGCTAACATTTTTGGCCTAAAAACCAAGCAAGAAAGAGGGAGGGAGATAGAAAAAAAGAAAAGAGAATAGGGGGAAGAACAGTTTTCGTCGTTTAGTGACTCATGTTTCCATAAAATAAGTCATCATCGCTCTGTAGACATACGACAACCATATAAATTTCAAAAGGCGAAAAAAAACCTTTTAAAAATAGACTTTCGATGTTAGATGGAAGTTTGGGTGTGTAGCCTAACTATACTCAAGAACTCCATATCATAGAAAAGGAGATTTATCGGCCGCGGCCTGGCTGAATCGATAAGACAGCACAGGGGAAATTTCAAAATTCATGAAAGGGTTTTTTTTTTCAAAAAGTCGTTTTTCAGATGGCTATCCAAACGGATCGAAGTTTGACGGCTGTGACAGCAACTGAGGAAATATGGGTACGATTACACAGGTAAGCGTTGTTGTTTGGTGTGAAAACTAAATAAAGAGTTCTCTCTGTTGGCGCCGTGTGTCTTTCTGCTTTCTTCGCGAAGAGAACGGCTGGCCGTTTGTAGGCCTTCCAAAGAAATTCGATGCCTGTTGTTCTGTGTCTTTTGATCCCTCTCTCTCGTTTCTCATGTATGTTTGAATTTCTCCACTGATTTTTTTCCTCTCTTACTATTATTTTTCGTACTGTTCCCCGCCAGAATGCGGTGATTGACAGACAGAAGTTCTCAGTCGACTGTATCGTGTTTTTGTAGCAATCAAAATCATTTCCGGACTGTCAGACTTCGCGTTTTTAACAGAGTGGGAAGCAATTATTAGAGTGGAAACGAACAATAACTGGCTGTAAAGTAAATAACCTAAAAGTTTGAGTTCGATTATCTCGGTTACTGTAAGAGATATCGACAATGTGTCAACTGATAAAACTTTCTTGATATTATCACAAATATTTTATCAGTTGACCACTTTTTGATATCTTTCACAGGAAATTAAATGATTTAGCTCAAAGTTATAAGTTAGGGGGCTCTTCTATTACAGGTTTTACGGTAACCCCGAATGAGACCCAGGAATTTCAAGAGACAAACAATTTTCCGGAGAAATGACCGTATTCAAATGTGCTAAAAAGCCATGCGGCAAAATCGTGTCAGTGTTGCAATTCAGGCTCCGCCCCCGACTCCGCGCACTATTCTCAGGAAAATTTTTCTACTGAATTTCCGGAATCTCCCCCGAATTGCTGTAGTATGCCGTTGCGCTTCAATGAGAAGGAGAAGTTTTAGGCCGGTGGAGAAACAGTTTAATTGGGAGCGAGAGACCCAGAGCACAATTATCAAGCCGCTCGAAAATAAATTTCCAACCGACACGCTCCTTCTCAATTAGAGTTCAACCACAGCTAGTGACCATTCACAAATTCTGATAATCCCTCTGTTAGAGAAACAAAGTTCTAATTGAAATTATTCGGCTACGTTGGGGTCGTTTACAGAGCAATTTAGATGTATAAAATCCTCAATTCCGAGGTACAAAATACCTGACATTTTTGGAGTTTTGTACCCCCGAATTGTTGTACTCTCCCAATTATGTGCCAAATTATTCAATAACATCCCTCTAATGTCATCTCTCTAGCTCTCATTGAGTGCGTTTTTATGATTTGCTGACTCTTCCGTATCTACTACGCAGCCGTGGCAATAAATTTTTGCGAGGCGATCGATCGGTGTCTTTGAGCACACCGAATGAACAGAATGCCTTCTGTTCTTTTAATTCCCGATTGATCGAGTTCGTAGAGCAGGTGAAGTCCCTTCTCTCTCATTCCCCGTTCGATATATTCTTGAGTCTTGGGTCCTCTCCGAGAAAAACCACCACAGAGTGAGGATGGAAATTCGACACGAGTTGAGCAAACAAACATGAATGACGAGGGGAAAGAGTCAGGGAGGTAGTGGTTTTAGGAAGACGAATATCGAGAGAGCGAGTGACGAGCGAGTGCGGATTTTTACTTCTTGGGAGGTATCGTCGCGTATTCCCCCGTCTATTTAGCATCTCATCTTTGACGGGGGTCTCAGGCTCAGGGGGTCAGCTCAAAATGGTGTTCCGATGCTCAGTGATATAGTACTCCGCTCGGCTTCCTGTCTGATGTTTTGTCTCTTCTCGCGCTTATCACTTATTTTCTGTTTGGCTAGACCACACATACCGAGAACATTGGGATGGAAAACAATAATAACGAACGGTCGGATAGATTTCAAGCGATGTTTCGAATAGAGATGAGAACATGAATCGCGCATACTGGTGTACTGTAGCTCCTCTTCTCGAGGGCCCCTATGTTCCATTTGTGAGAAACAGTAGTTCTCTACTATTGGTCCAATTAGGCGGCGACAAAGACATAAAATGAAGGGCATATGCATAAAATAATATCATGACTACGAGGATTTATCGATTCGATGAGGATCCATCTGTCGTATTTTTATGAGGAGGCCTGGGTCATCGTCGATTAGTCGTGTGCAGATGTAATTCACATCCTAACAAAATTTCTTATTGATTGACTGAAATCAGTCAAGTATTTGGATTAGGCTCATCTCACCAGCATCCATAATGAATAATGCAGCTGTGCTCATATGGGACTGCATAGTTTTGTAACATGGAGAATGGTATATCCGTGTACACCTGTTTCCCCGTCATTTATGAGCAATCAAAATGATCGTAATGGATTTGAGAAGAGGACGGAAAAGGCTGTGTGTCTAGTTTGGTGTTATCGGAGAAAAACGCCTTTTCTTAACGGTACATCCGAATTATTATTCATGAGAAAATGCCATTTCTAGAGTCCTACGGAATAATGACGTAGTCTCAAAGATAGGCTACCATTACCGATATAGTTGCGAGATATTGATCCCTGATTGGGTTGAGAGACAACGGAATCTCAACAAAACGGATGAAAATCGAGAACCATTTTTAAGCTACGGTAGTTTTCGTTTCGGGACCTGCCTAGAATACAACATTTTTACCTTAAGAGTCAATGATAAATTTGTATTTACACTAGTTCCCCGAAGACAAAGAACAGCCGGCGACTTGGAAATGACCCAAATTTATACGCGAGCCGCATCTGTTCAGGTGTCGTCTTCCCCTCTCAGGCTACCCTATCTCTTCTCTGATCATAATACCACGACCTTCTGTCTCGGAGGTCCCTCACGGAATGATGTCATCTCGCAAGAAGGGGTTATCATCATGTGTCCGCCCGAGAGCACCCGTTGAATAGGTGTCTATTGTAATAGTCAGAGAAAAGTGACACGCCAGAGTTTTATGGTTGTCAGTTGTGAAGAATAGACTGTAGTAGGAACCATTAGGATATTGAAGAGTTTTCTTTAGGACACTTTGATGTTCCCGACATTGTATTTTTTCTATCGGCAATTTTGATATAGCAACTGGAGCTCTACATTTCGGAATTATAAAAATGTCGTTTTTTTGTAAACTCAATAGAAAAATCACAGTGTTTTGACCAACAAGCACCGTATTTCCTCGAACAGAAGCTCACCCAAACCGTCAAGTTCAATTATTTCGGTTACTGTAAAATATATCAAAAAGCGGTTAACTGACAAAATCATTCTGAAATTATGATGAATATTTTGTTAGTTGACCACTCTGTCTTACCTCTTACAGGAAATGAGATATATGGACCCAAAGTTGACGGTTTAGGTCGGCTTCTATTAGAGGAAATACGGTAGCTTCTAATTTTTCAGTAGCCTTATATGCTTGACCTTGTACATATGTGCAATTTAGCTGATCGGAGATCAAGAGGTGACCAAATCAAGCTGCAGAAAATAATATTTGTTTATATGTGTCGTCGTCTCGGTCCTCCTCTATAATGTGTTATACTACCTCCTCAATGTGTGCGGCGGAACGTACAAATATTAGAAGCGCTAGGCTCTCGCCGTGATCTTTTTTTCGATATCAGTAGAAAACAACCAGTATATATATATATATATATATATCTTCTTGTTTCTAGTTTGATCAGACTGTCCCCCGTTGGAGCTGTTGTGGTGACTGGTCTCTCATACAGATGAAAAGAGAACGATAACAGCAATAAGTGGATGCTTTGTTGTTATAGAAATTTGATAAGATGAAAACCCATTCGGAGTTCTTTTGCTAATTAAGGCAAGTATGCAAACAGATTGTGACCCATCCACAATACAAATTATGTCCACTGGTAATATTATTCACACCAATGCGTACATGTTTCGTTCCGCTTTTAGGTCTGGATGCGTTGTTGTTGCTTGCCGGCGTGCGTAGAGATCGTTAATGAACATCTTCATGCCTCGGTTCACGGTCAGTAGTTACTCAGGCAGGACGAAAAAGACGAAGATGGAATACGAAAAAAGAAAAGGAGACAGAAGACAAGTGTGCCTAATTTCGTACTTTTGCCGCGTTTTCCTTGCCTGCCACTCATCTAGCTTATACATGCAACTACTCAGAATTCTTATGAAGGTTGAAAGAATTGAAATGGACTGGCTGATGACGATTTGTGCTCAGCTCCTTTTCGGATCTACATCACTGATCCCCAATACAATAACATGAATAATGGGAAAATACATACTATGCCTTGACAAGCTTTTCAAGGCATTGTTTCCTCTTCTCGTCAGAGAGGTCGATCTATTGTTCGATGCCAAAAGTGTGTGTTGATTTTGAAGGGCAAAGTGGCTCCCTGCTGTGAAGAAAAGGGAGAAGAATTGCCATATTTTTGACCCTATGCCGCCCTCCTCATACAACAATCGCGGGACGACGACTCTCAACAACTAAAGAGTCCAATTAACACCGAATTAGCATAATTTGACACGTGTATGTTTTTTTCTGGGTCATTGAATAGGAATGGGTGTACGGTAAGTTGGTAGCAAAGGAGAAATGCCTGGTGGTCGTAATTTTTAATGCTTTGACTACTGTAATTGAGGAAAGCCCGCAAACACTTCAAGCCTGTTTGAAAATCATTGTTTTTCTTTTCGAATTTCGTCGCATGATGCAACATAGCTCTACCGGACGCTCGAACAATCTTTTTGCTGGTTTGCTAGAAAACCTCATAGGATTTGAACATAGGACTCGCCGTCTGCGCCTCTAGCCTCCGAATTTTCGAAACAACTGTATCTCGGCTTCTAGACGTGCTAGAAAGTTGATTTTCAGACTAAAATCAAGTAATTTTTTGAATTTTGCGAAGCTGAAAAAACTCTGGAATTCCAAGATTGAATTTTTGTGATTTTTTGTTTGAAAATAGATGTTTGTTCAAACTTTTGGTTAGGTTACCAAATTTCACATTTCCTGGTATTCAATTTAGTTCACAAATCAACTTTCTAGCTTTCATAGAAAGATAGTAACGGGCATTTGAAGTTTCTACTGTCTGCGTCTCTTCAAAAAAGGTCAGAGACGCAGTGTGCTTCGTTGTCTGCGTCTTTAGCCTCTGAAACTTAAAAGGACTGTATCTCGGCTTCTAGAGGTGCCAGAGAGTTGCTTTTTTCACGAAAAAGAAAGAAATTCTCTGAATTTTGAGAACCAGAGGGTTTGTCTCCACCATTAGCTTACTGTTTCCGTTTTTCGTATGATCATATTCTTACCTTAAGAATTTTTAGTCTTTTTTCAGAAAATGCATTTTTTATCGTTACTCTTTTTTCAGGCATATGATGTGGACTCTTCGCTCTCCAACTCTTGCCTTTCGTGATCGGGTTATGGAAGGGAAGCCGACTCAGGACATGATGGTGAGTAGTTAACACTGATTTCCAAAAACGAGTCTTATTAGGGTATAAAACGAGTCTGATTAGGGTAATTGAGTCCACATCTTTTAGTAGTATTGAAGATCGAATGTGAATGAGTCTGAATTTGTTAGAAAGACATTAAATTTATACACAAATATATAGGTCGTTGGTCTCCATCTCAATATACACATAGATATCGCACATAAGAATAAAACTGAGTGGAGAGAGAGAGAGAAAGCAAGAAGGGCAAGTATTGTTTGTCTGTTTTGTGGATGAACGAGGTGAGAAAACTTTGACGACGACGAAGCGAAAGGAGGTTCCCAACAAACCAAACACATTCGAGACAAAATCGAAAAATAATTTTGTAATTTCAAAAATCTGTAGCAGTTTTCGTAGCAGCTCTGAAAGTTGAAACTACGAGAAATGTTATAGTCATTTTGATTCGAACATTTTCGAACTGGCTATCTGAAAGTTCTGATGAACCCTTCGAAGTTGGCAACTCTAAGCTGCTGACTCACATTTTTACCAGTGTGTTCACTCTGAAGTCCTCTGTTCGATTATTCAAAATTAGCCATACTAGGCTGCACATTCGATTATATATACACACACTCGGTCATTCACAACGTCTGGAGTCTCAGCCAGTGGATCAGAAGGTTTCGAGACCAAGGAACATTTACGCAGCAAAAATAACTAGTGCTCCTGGAAGCTCCTTCGTTCAGCGGAGTTACAGTTTTCCCATATTCCCCCCTACGTCTTCTCGCTTCTTTTGGGCACACCAACACACAAAAGCCATGATTTGAGACGGGGGAATTCTCCAGGGAGCGCACACGCAATACAGGGATATCGAGAATTTTCAGACGCTGTGATTGAGTGTCATTTGGCACGCCACCTAATCTATGCCGTCGGATTTGGCTGAGATTAGCCGAGAGAAATGTTGCCTGGAACGAGAGATTCGGTCAACAAATTAATTCCCCGGAGTGGATAACTATTGTTCTGAAGTCTCGTAAAATATGTACTTTAGAAAAACACAAGCACAACAACATTAGTTAAAAAAGGGCAAACAATTCGTGATACACAAAGCAATTTAGTGGTACAAAATCCATAATTCGGGGGTACAAAATACATGAAAATTCGATTTAATACCAGCGAATTGTGGACCCCACAATCATTTTGCCTAAATAATGGGATACAAAATATTTAAAAACCAAATTGCAGGTACTCTTGGAACTGGATCAATCCCAAATCGTCGAGCTTGAGCTACATCATCCAAATCAGCACTCGGTGAGTGAAAATTTCTATGGACATGAGCTATAAACTCCGGGATCAAAAATGCGTTCTCACTATTTACTCAATCTTCAAAACGGCATTCGATTATTGCCTATTATAAAAACGGGCCAGTCGTTTCTCCATGAAAAAAATGGTTTTCTGCACGTAATGTTCAATTCACTAGAGTCGTTCTCTGAATTTCGTAATACTTTTCTGACTTTTCACTGATATCCATCCAATCGAATTCGACCCATTCCACGATATTGGAGCGCACATGGTGGCCGTATGTTTTCTATGTCATCTTCTTCTCATGTCATAACTGCCAAGCCAAGTGTTCGTGGGGCACACACGCACGCACAAAAAGCAGTAGCCAGCCGGTGTTGGGTTTTAAAAAGGCGGTTGGACACAGAGAGATATAGAGTATCTATCCTCTCTTGTCGTCAGTTTTACTTCTTCTTCAATGCCTTCATTTTTCCATTGCTGCGGTTTTTTGCAACACTTCCAGTGCACCTGTCATCGTTGTGTCCTTGTATCTTTCATATATGAAAATCCCAGATGAAAAGGGAAGAACGGGAGAATTTTTGTGCAATTCATTTTTGTACTCTTCGCAATATATTGCTCGAAAAAGCTGTTGAAAAATGTTCTAGGAAATTGTATTGTTTTGCGAAATTTTGGAATGTAGAAGTTACCGTAAAACCCTTAATAGAAGGGCGCCTTGACATCCAACTTAGAGCTAATTTTTCTCGGATCCCATTCTGGAAATCAAAAATGTGTCAACTGATAGAATATTTGTGATTTTATAATCAAAAATTTATCAGTTGACAACTTTTTTTAAATCTTTGACGAGAACCGAGATAAATTAGCTCCAACTTGACAGTGTGGGTGCCCTTCTATTACAGGTTTCACGGTATATACAGCTTGTAAAATAGTTGTCAAAACACTTTCCCTTTCAGTGTTTTTTTCATATTATCTCTCACATATGGTCAGTGAAGCTCGACGCCTTCGTATTCTCTTCCTTTTTGTCGATCGCCGTGCTCGGGCAAGGTCCTCCTCTGCGTCTCTTCGTCTCTATTATCTCTCATCACTCCGCCCCTCTCCCCTCTCTCTCCCTTCGCTGCCTTCGCTCCTCCGTCTTTCAATCCGTCTGCTGTCTCGTCGTTGCCTCGATTAGGGGGCGGGTACGTCCTCCTCTCTCACTTCGATCGGTTGGTCGCTGGGCGAGTCTCTCAGTCGGGGCTGTGGTGGTGCGTTGATGCCTGCTTGTGTGGCCGAGAGAAGAGTCCTCTCGGGCCTGCTCCTTGTCTGCTTTTATATTTTTTGCTGCTTTAGAATGTTTATTTATTCAGTCTTCGAAAATTAGAGATCTTGACGTTATGGAGACTAGAGAGACATCATGGCGCCGTTTTCCTTATCATTTTCTTACACTCCTCTTCGATAGTCGGACGAACCCCCATTTTTGGCTTTCTTTTCTCGTACGAATTCTCTTTTCTTCGCCATCGCCTTCTAGTTTAATTCAACATATTCTTCTCTCCAGAAAACTTGCCGAGAACCGCCGTAGCAACTACTACTTGACGATAATAATTCAAACCTATCGTTGGTTCGAATATTCAAGAAATCAAAAATGTGTGTTGCATCATCGGTCTCGGGAACAAATGAGTTGACTATCCAGTCTATCTGCCGTGCACTTCCTCTCATGATTGAGATCCAAAACTATCAACGTTGCCGTCCATCGTTCATGCGACGTGTTCATCTGAAAAACGAAGCCGCGCTGGCGACGAGACCGGATAATTTTGAGGGGCTGGAGAATGAAGTCATCAAGGGAGAGGTACGTAGTAGACAATTTAATCGACAGAGAACTTTACTACGGTCGGGGGCTGTAAAGAGGGATAAGCCGTCGGGGAGAAAACGACCAAACTGTAAATTTTATTGGTAGGATTGCGAACGCATGGAAAACCATGAAAGAATGATTCAGAGAGAAATTAAGAGATCAAAGTGAAAAGGTTTTTTGCAGGTTTCGATGGCTCAATTGGCCAATTTGAAGATCATCGCGAGTCAATTGAACGCCAGCAACGAGCCCGAAGATTTGGATATTCTCATTCATACGCTCGTCACTGGAGGACAGGTTAGTGTACTACCGTAATTATCAGAGTGAAATGGGGTGCAGCAAATTTCTCCGCAGCAACAATTATGACCGTATCATTAACACGCATATCTGATCAACAGACTAATTCAATGTTGCTTAGTCTCAGCGTAGACACCGTAATTCGCAAGGGGTTGTAGACGAAAGTGTGTATTACTAGAAGCTTCTAGTCTAGTCGAATGTGCCCCCTTCGTGAGTCATTCTAGACGACAAACTAGACAAATAACTAGAAACCTCGTAGACTTTAGTTTTCAGCGACTATTAGAAATATTCCTTGCATGGCAAAGAGCTGCCGAGACAGCGCCAACTCGAGAAATTGCATTAGTAATTGAGCGTTTGGGTCGGGGGTCCTACTTTGTTATTCTTGGTCTGATGAGTCCCAATTTTGAATTGTTTCGCGAATAAGAAATACATGTTTAGTAATTCTTTAGCGTCGCTTTTTCTGCCTACTGCTACAGTAGTAGCAGTAAACAGGAACGATTTTGAAGAGAATAAACAAAATCCACCTCTAAAATTTTACTATAAACCAGATTACATGAAAAATAAGCTTAAATTAGCGAAGATGTGAATACACTAAACTAGTCAGACAATGCTTCCAGGTTGCTGTCGAATCGCGCGAGAAAGAGTGCTGTCGTCAATTCTTGCTTGCAATTTCGAATCTTCTTCCAATTGGATGCATCAAGTTGGCCACTTACAAGGATCAATATTTACCAGAGTATAGGTGAGAAGCTTGATCTTTCATCACTTGGATTATATTAGCAATATATGTTTGACCAGACAAGGGCCTAGTAGTACTCATCGGATAGAACAATGACGTGTTTTCTGTTTGACTAGACAACTTGGTGTGCTTCTGAGTAGGATAGTTCATCGCAAAAATGATCAACGATGCGTTTTGCAGCTCTCGGTTCAACCTGATCGGCGGCCCGCACAATATGGATATTCCTCTCGACGTTTCGGATGTCATCGTTGTCCGTGTGATGCCACGTGATCTCTCGATCGTTGACTCTGACAAGATGTCCCTCGAAAACTGTGTTATCGAGGTTCGTCGTCGTCCAGAGAATGACGGCTCCGGTGGAGGACTTCCACAGATAGTCAAGCGCTACCGGGATCTTCTTCTCGACGCCGACGTCAGGGATACTCTTCTCGAAAGCGTGCTCCGCACCACTCGCGAAGGCTGGATGCACAAGGCAAAGATTTGCTACCAAATGAAGCATCACCTTCCAGCATCGGAAATCTTCAAGCACATCACTGGAGTGGGATATGATGTATGAAAGCCTTTTTCTGATCTCTCATTCTCAATAATTGGTTTTCAGGATCGTCAAGTTGTGATGTACTGGACCGCGGGACTCTCGGATGCCTACAAGCAACACGTCATCGCTAGTCTTCAACACACTCGCCACATGTCTATTCCACAGACCTCTACGACCTCTTCTCGTTGAATTTCCTCTCAGTTTCGTTCGCTATCATCTTTTCTAAGACGGCTGTGCCGTTCAATTCCATCCACATTGTATTGGTTGTTCTGATTTCATACACACCGTAGTTTTCGTTGATAGATCTTTTTTTCTTCGACATGCCGCTGTCACATCAACCCAACAACCGATATTCTTCCATCGTTTTACCCATTTCTGTTCGTTATCTCGCACCTCTGTCATGTGTTCTCTCAATTTGGCTTTAGCATCTCCTCCCGTTCTTTTAATCATATTCATAATAATCCACTTCATGTGTGACTCCACCCCAATCTCCTCTTCCTTCACTCATAATATTCTTTTTCTTTTTTCATTTTATGCATTTCCTTCTTCTTCTTCCATTCTATTCTCTTCTTTTTCTTCCTTTCTTCATGTTTTTTCTAGTGATTCTATTTCTTACAACTTTCAACGCATTCTGCCGCCGCCGTTCATTCAAATGGGTCGAATTTTCCCCCGTCCAATCTGTCCCATCGTTTTGCCTTTTCAATGGCATTTTCCGGTAGTTATAACTTTCATACCAAATCCGTTTCCATCTCTATAGATCTACCAAACCTACCTCGTTGGGCTTAGGTCTCTATAAATCTCTATTAATAGGTATCGGGGATACACTACACTTCTTGTACCGCCCCAAAAAAAAACGAGATTTTCAGATATTTACACTACCATCTCCTGAAATGAGCATCTCAAAATTCCAATAGTTTTCTCTCTGCGTAAAAATCTTTCTCCGTTATTTTTTGCCTAGATTTGTCTCTGTTCCATTCACGATGGCCGTCTCGTTCACCGTTAGTCCATCGCCTTATTCGTTTTATATTACATCTTCACACCCCATTACATTACGCATTTTATTCATTGTAAAATAAATGGAATTTTCGTTTCAATTTATTGAGATCAAGAAGAAATTATGGAATTACAGAGAAAACCCAGAAAAAATCAAAAAATTACTGTAGACATTTAATTCTAGTAATCAAAATATGTCCAATATCAACACTCTTCTTCTCAATGGTCTTCTTCAAATCATCGACATGTCTCAAATGCACTTCACACGACAATCCATTCTCTTTCTTGATTTTTTGTAATCCAGAAAGAATCCAATACAACGACACGCCTTCTTCATCATCTGAATATTCCTTGGCTTCTGAACAGTGAAGTTCTTTGGGGAATACAACGAATGCTCGATGATTCAATGCGTTTTCGCTGACTTCTTCGGTTTCTTCTAACTCAGTTTCTTCTTGATTCGGTCGATAATCAGCGACAGAGGCAAGAACGTAGACCTGAAAAACCATTAAAATTTCCAATATTTAAAATTTTATTAACTTTCAACCAACCTTATTTGTGAAATTACCGCAAAACTGGAACCAAACTGTCGCTACCAGAGGCTGGAGGTCAAAACGAATTGTCGCTGGATTTGGAAGCTCTGAAAATGAACTTTGACTTTCCGAACATCGAAATCCCGAATTTTCGAATTTCTGACATTTTCGAGATTCCTGGATTGTCGAACTTCTAAATTTTGAAATTCTGATATTTAGAATTTCCGAACTCCACATTTCAGAATCTCAGATTCTCGGAATCTCAGAATCTCAGAAGTTTCAGAACTTCTGACTTTCCGAATTTTTGAGATTTCTAAGTTTTGAAGATTTTTGACTTTTTGAAATTTTGGAATTCTGAATTTTTGAGATTTCTAAATTTCTAATTTTCTAAGTTTCCAATTTTTCGAGATTCTTGGATTTTCGAATAACTGAATTTTGAAATTCTGATATTTAAAATTTCAGAACTCCACATTTCAGAATCTCAGATTTTTGAAATTTAAGAATCTTAGAATTTCAAAGTTTCAGTATTTCAATAAATTAGAATTTCAGAAATTCTGACTTATTTCTTTTTGAGATCTCCGTTTTTCTAAAAGAATTTTGTTTTTTGAATTTCTGAATTTCTAGATTTACAAATTTATGAATTTCTGAATTTTGATATACCGGAATTTTCGAATTTCTAGATTCCTGAATTTTTGACATTTAAAAAATTCAGCATTTAAGATTCAAAGAGATTTCTGAATCTTTGAGGTTTTTGATTATTCCAATTTCTGAAATTCAGAGATTTCTGATTTCCTTTTCTCCGATTTTACCATAATAATACGCATAAAAATGGCATACCATGCATAAGTCTCCAGTGAAGAGTATGATTATCAAAAGACGCAGTGTGCCCATCAAAAATCAATGGATCAGCTAAACTTCTTGGATGCGTGAGGGTGCTTCGAATCTCAGGAACTTGTAAATCACACACTTTTTGATCGTCTCCGATGTCTGAAATAATATTTTAAAAACTGAAAAAGTTTCACCAGGCCGTAAAACCTGTAATTGAAGGGCCACCACTTGAGTTCAATTATCTCGATTCATATGCAAGATATCAAAAATGCGTCAACTGATAAAATGTTTGTGATATTATGATAAACAATTTATCAGTTGACAACTTTTTCATATCTTTCACAGGAACTGAGGTAAATTGGCTCAAAGTTAGAGGTCCTTCTATTTGAGGTGTTTGGTATATAATCGCTTACCCAGCAAAACTTTGTTTAGCATATCAATAACGGAAATTTCCAATTGAACATGATTTTTAAGATATTTCATGAATATTCCATTCACTTCTCCTTTCACCTAAAAATAATCAATAAAACAATTTATGGGTTACTGTATTCCCACTTCGTATGCTCCAACTCCACCACTAGTCGAGTATCCGTAAACCATGTTTCGATGAGCACGGTGAAACTTTTTGAATTGCTCCGAGTACTCCACGAATGGTCCAATTGCTTCGTATCTAAACAAAAAGGTGATCCTCAAAAAAAATGTCTAGTTTACGGTATAAATTTTCTGCAGACATCCAGAAGAAGAAGATTTAATGATGGTTGTTTATCGCGGAAAATTGAGAGAAGCTAGAAAAGAATTTTAAACTTGAAATAAAATTTTAGACTTACCCAGTCCATGCTGAGAGCATGCTGTGGTTGATGAGCATCTGCTGGAGCATCTACGCCCAATAAATAGCATTGACCATTTACTTCGAAACCATGTCCCACGAAGTAAAATACGGCTGTAAAGTTAAGGTGTTGAGATTAGAACTGTTAGAACTTGTAATAGAAAAGCTCGCTAACTTTTAACTTTGAGCTAATTTTTCTTGGTTCCTGTAAAAGATATCAAAATGTGGTGGTACCAGGGATGAGAACTCGGAAAATGAGAACTGCTACATATGAGAACTAGACAAATAAGAACTCGTTTTCCGGCTCTAATTTTAGGCTCAGGATCCAACCTTTTTGAAAAATTTTTTCGAAATGGTCTCGTTCTTCACAATGCTTCAAGATTTTCCAAAAAAATCCGTGTTTGCCATGTACTCTCCGAGTTCTTATTCGTACGAGTTCTCATATGTAGCAGTTCTCATTTTCCGAGTTCTCATCCCTGGTACCACCCAAAATGTGTCAACTGATAAAATATTTATCATAATACCACCAATATTTTATCAATGGGCAGATTTTTGATATCTTTCTTAGGGACTGAGATAATTGAGCTCAAAGTATACGGTGGGCTTCTATTAGAACATTTACGCTAAATTGTATTATACTGGCACAAAAAATTCGGATCTGTGGAATAGGAAGTCCGGTGGCCGTGGCCGAAGATCCCACAGTTACAACTACAGTAACCTACAATTTTCTTATTTTCAGAATTTATTTCCTCGTTTTTTGATGGGTTTTCGTCGAGTTTCCAGTTAAAAAATATTTCTAGTGTACGGTAGTTTTCGTTGTGGTACCTTGGGCCGCGGCCAGACTTTTGTACACTTTTATAGGCATAATAGAAAAATTGAAATTACCGTATACTCCATCTCCAATCAGCTTTTTGTATTCCCGAATGAAATATCTCATTTCATCGAGCGTAAGATCAGCTAGCGTTACAGTTTTATAGTTCATTTTCTGTATAAAATGAGTTTCATTTCAGGATTACTGTAGTTGGTACCTGTAACGCATCTGCTAATGTTTGTGCATCACAATGAGGAGTCATTAGTTCTGGGAGATGTTTGTAGGAGCAATTGCTCATCACAAGAGCCACTTTATCAGCTGCGCGAAGGTTAACGTCTAGGTTCGGACGGATTGGAACCGAATTCGTTTCGATCTTTTCCTCTTCTGCCAGAATTTGAGACAGGCGACCCATTTCTAGGTTTTTGCATGATTCACAGACTGAAAATCTTTTCTTTTTGGTTTTTTAAATTTTAAGTCATCGATTCCACGGTGTTTTTTCCGTAGCGACTCAGCAGTTCAATTCAAAGCTCTCGCTTCGAGACCAACGGTAATTTTACTGTATTTGCATTTGAGCGCGTTTACACGACATCCCGAAAAAAAACACCGTGCGATCCGAATTGAATCTTACGTTCATCATCTCTGACACAAGAAGTAACATCAATAAATTCAGATTCAATCCTTGAATGCCACTGTTTTCCATGTCTACGATAGTGTTCGGAATACGACAGTCCTTCTGGCACTTGATTAATAGCAATGCATTTATACTGATGTTCTGTTGAGCATTTACATCTAAACCTTTTATTTTATCTCAAAATATATTTTTTAAACCTCAAGAGAGTGTACGATCTCCCAGTATGTATCGGGTCCTTCGAATCATTTGTATACCACTTTATTTGAGGAGTGGGAAATCCTTGAGCTTTGCATTCTAGTTTTATGAAATCCCCATCGAAACTAATTGTGACTGGCTCATCGAGATATGGAACCCATCGCAATGCTTCTGTAAAATTAAATTTGGACAACCGCGGGTTTGGAGTACTAGAAAACTCCGGTGGCCGAGAAAACTGCGTCTGCTGTGGAGTCCTCGTGGACAACTGTTTTTTCTTTTTTTTTGGATTTTTTTTCCGTTTAATGCAAAACTTACTAAATTTTCGCCTTAATTGAAATTGAATAGTATCAAATTCGTCTTCATATGTTCTTGATAAATATTGTAGTCGTGCCAACAAATCGCCAACCTAGAATCTTCTCAAATTTTGGTTTTTTTTCTGTTCCCGCGTACCGTTTGTCCTCGGTTCCCCCATCTTCGCAACACTTGATCACAGCAGTTTTCTCGTTTTAAAAAGCTATCTATTTCTAGTTGTCTGTAATTTAAATTGTTTCCATTTAAAATTCCTCTTTCCTAACTTCATAGAAAAAATCGGGTCCTGGTCGTAGTCCACAATTTTCGTCCATAAATTATCCTTCTCGAGCTCTTGCGATAAAACGCGAAAAATACGAACCGGCAAATCCGCCAAATTTGTGTTCATCTCGGACTGAAATAGTCTACTAGATTAGGTTAAAGAACATAATGTCGTATATTTAAAAAAAGAAGATTGTGTTTAAAGTGTCATCTAAATCCTCAAAGGCTTACATCGATCCATATTCTTTATATTTATATATTTTTCTCCCTAGTCCCCATTCGCTCCTTCTCCTTCCCCGTAAATCGACAACCCTTCTTTCTCTTTACCGTGTCTATTTTACTGCCAAACCACACAATATATGTCTTTTCCCATCGAGACCCTCGCATCATGAGGCCTGGTGCAGTGGGGGAAGAATAGAGAGTGTTCGTCAGTAGGGGACGCAGAGTTTACCAGCAAACGAAGCGAAGCGTACAAACAACGCGCGGCCATTCTCCTCCCCCTTTTCTCTGTGTGTGTGGCCACAACTATCGATTGCCTTCGACTCAAAGGATTCTGGACGGCGGGTTTTAAACACCCGAATCGATAATATGTTTTTTTGAATTTATCGATTTTTGACCTTTTTTGCTCATTTTTTCCTTTTTTCGAGGTCTGCTACAGTCTTATTGTATGTATCTGTGTTTATCACATGTAGTAGTCATCTCTCTCGTTTTCGAAAATCATACTTTTATCTCCAAAAAAATCTGCTGTTCATTCACTCTATCATCTCTATTACCGTATTTTTTTCCGTTTTCCTCCGAATAAAATGTTATTTTTCCGAAATTTCGCCTAATAGACATTTTCCAGGCTTCAACCACCATTGTAATAACTCTGGAACAATTCAGAGATCCCAAAATTCAAAATGGAGTCTTCTCGTACAGCGTCAAGCATAACAAACGGGTAAGTTCCCTTCGAATCTCTGAAAATCTAGGAGACACCCAAATTTTTTGAATTTGGGGAAAAGGATGCTACCTGTGAGTGCGCACGTTTTGAGCTGGAGTTGGAGGAGACATTCCAGATGCTCGACCCACTTCTTCTGTTTTCATGTCGAGTATGGCGAGTCGAGTGTCAAGCGGCTGAGAAACCCAATTGTACATTCTCCGGAACGTTTCACGACCGGACTTTAGCTTGTTCCATGGTTTCGGATTGCGAAGCAAGTCGGAAAGTGTTCCCTGACTGCGACACAATATTCTTTCAGCGAATATGGCCTGTGGAATCGAGTGGTTCTTCAACT